TGGGGCACGAGACTTAGAAAAATTTTTATGAAAAAAATTTTTTTTTTGAATTTTTGGCTTTTTTTGCCGGGAATGTTTAGAATAGATAAAAATAAGACTAATCTTCAGATAACTTTTTTTTCTAGGACCAACCGTTAACTTTCTAGAGCCAATTAAAAGTGCGCTATCAACACTTAGAATAATTTCGACGAGTTTTTTTTTCTTCAATTGTTCCTTGTTTTCTTGCAAGAATCGCATAGAAGACGTAAAACAAAGCACAAAAGCTTATATGGTCTACCTCTCTAAAACAAACGCTTTCAGATTTAGAGCCAATTAAAGGTGGCTTCCGACACTTAGAATAATTTCGATCAAAAAATTTTTTCCCGAAAGTGGCGATTCTTTTGAACCTTACTTTAGTGCGACTTAGACATTCTTTATAAGCGATCTAACGCTGTTGCAATATTTTAGTTAGTTGACAGAAATCATTATTTCCAAAATGAAGCAAGAAGTTTTAGTTCTCTATCCTTGCGAAAAATCAATTTATTGGTGTATTAAAATTGATTATTGAAGTTATTGTAAGCTAAAACTTCTTGCTCCATTTTGGAAATAATTAATTTCGGTCAACTAACTAAACTACTGAAACAGCGCTCGATCGCTTATAAATAATGTCGAAGTCGTACTAAAGTAAGGTGTACGGATGCAGTATGGTTAAGTTTAACATAGCGAGTGTTATTTAATGCCAAAATCGCGAAATCTTATCCGTAGTAGGTATACATCGATGATATTTTGTATGTAAATAATTAAAAACAAAATTCTTTTTTTCTCTTAACTTCAGGGATAGATTTTAGTGCGCTCCAGTTTACAAATTAGTATTGGCCTGAGGAACGAAATGCACTATAGTTTCATTCTGGGCAGCACTTGGTCCAACTTCCATACATGGATTGGCACTGTCCTTTTTGACCTCTTTTTTGTCGATAAAAATAGGTCTAGTTTCATCTATTTACATATGTACACTTTAACGTGACTCACACTGTATAATTGTTCACGCTTCTCGATTCTGCGATACGATTGGTCGTTCAACAGCGTACGTCAGCTGTTTTGACCAATCGTATCGCAGAATCGAGCAGTGTTGCCAGAAGGTTACTTTTGTAACCTTTTAGGTTACTTTTGAACTGCTGTGGTTACTTTTAGGTTACACTAATGAAAAGGTTACTTTTAGGTGATTTTTCAGAAATTGTAGAATTAACTTTACAGGTTATTCAGTAAAAAATATTAATAGTAACAATTTAAAAATTATGTCATAAAGTGCATTTAAACTTGAATTTGATTTATTATTTGTTAAAAAAAATGAGTTTTAGCAAATGTTTTTCGATAATAAAACGCAAATCCATGAAACGTTTTTATACGACTGGTCACTTTTCGAATTTAGATGATCAATTGTATTCATTTTCCATCAATGAACAACCTTACACAATCATCGCTCCCCCCCCCGTATTAAGGTTACTTTTTATTCAAAAAGGTGACTTTTTTTTTATATTTCTGGTAATTTCTGACTAGACCCGACTGGCAACACTGGAATCGAGAAGCGTGTCTGGATTGGAGACGTTAAAAATTACCGTAATCGGGGCTCTGCCCCCTTAGACAAAACGCACTTTTTGATCGAATCGAAAATTGAATCCGTCAAAACTCCATACAAAAAAGGGGCTTTTCGACTGGTTTGCGATTATAATTTGCACTTTGTCTAGACCCACTGGTCACATGTTATAGACATAATTACTCTCTAATCTGTGCATGTGATCTCATCCATGAAGCTAAAGATAAAAATGGAGGCCACACTTGGAACAACAACTTGAGTCAAATACCTACTTATCCTATCTCGCTCTCTGTGGGCCGACCTCTCTTTTTAGTGTGGACTGTAGTATTGCTATCTCCTTATTTAGATCTGCTAGTAAATTCTTCGAAATAGCCAATTCACTAACCAAATCAGAAGTTAAACAAATAAATAATGAAATATTTGAACTACGATTACCTAGTTAAATTAAAAATCACAAAATTGTCGGCCGTTTAGGCTTAATGTGTTTGCGAATCAGGGAATTACAATCCCAATTCATGGGGAATCGGTACCATGTGGCAACATCGGCCCAATCCGGCCCATCATGGCGGTTGTTTACTATTTTGTTTATTATGCAGTTAATTTCGTTTGAGATTTTTTACAGGACATAATCATTGTTTTATCACAAGAAATGGTGCAAAATTTTGTAGTGCGTGGTTGCGGTAGTACGTGGTGTCCTGGAAATGACTTAAGATTCCACGCAATCCACGCGTAAGTGTTTATTTCGTGATTTCCGACATTGGATCATTGTAAACATTTTTCACAGTAATTTCTTCCTAAAACGTTTTACCAGTATTTACACTTATCATTTAATGATACCTATGTCAAGAAATAAAGATTTTACATTGAGTTTCATTGACTTTGAGCAAATTTATATTTTTTGTTTATTTAGAAAGAGAGTCTGCCCACAGAGAGCGAGATAGTGAAACATAGGTTGTGCTTCAAGTAGGTATTCGGAGTGTGGCCTCCATTTTTATCTATAGCTTCATGGTCTCATCTAAGCCCATAGAGTTTTTTAAACGAGATGATGCCACAGCTAAAAAAACCACGAGCTGTCAGTGTCAAACAAAGCCGAAATTGGGATGTCGGCATCATGAAGCTAAAGATAAAAATGGAGGCCAGACTTAGAATACCTACTTGAAGCACAACCTATGTATCACTATCTCGCTCTCTGTGGGCAGGCTTTCTCTTTCTAAGTAGGGTAACCTTTTATTTATTTTTCTCAGGATGACAAAGACTGATTTACGTTTAAACAGTGTGTCTTGATAAAGTGCACTTAATATGATTATGAAAAAAGGTTTTCGATGTTTTTGTTTTAAGATGAATTACAACATTAAGAAAGTGTAAAGGCATCGAAAACTGTGGATATTTGATAGAAAACAGATTTTAATTTGGCAGTTGACAGACGGATTTGGATATGGATTGATTACAGTAAACGGCCGTAGAAAACATTATGCAAAATTAGATAAGTAAGGTCCCACAGAAAGTCCCAGATATATCCTCAATATGGTCATACTACTTCAAAATGTCTTATAGTCGGCATGAAGCTATATACGTGAATGTCAACAGCTTCCTCATTGGCCCTAGAGCAATTCCAAGTATACCATCAATAAAAGCCTAATTAGAGTCATCAAACCTCTCAGTCATTCATTTAGAGCCATTAGAACTTCATAACTATGAGTTGTTTTCTGTGAGTAAGCTGAGGACACGTGTCCCCAGCTGACACATCTGTATCTTCGTAAATATTTATGAAACGATAATGTATTATACCTGTTAAAACCACGATCAAAAAACTATGTGCGAGCTGGAGTACCGTGTCTCCAGCTGACACTGTATCTTCGTAAATATTTAAGCTATATCAATGTTTTATATCTCATAAATTAAAGTCGAATAAAAAAACCCGACTTCAAATCTTTCAAAGCTTTATCTCGAACCGTTTTCGAACTACGAACCGATATGTATGTGTAAGCCGGTGACACGTAACACACGGTGGATTATTAAAACCGTATAAGTTAGAGTTGCGTTTTAGAGATCAAATAATTCGTTATAATTAAAGTACACACGTGACATAATTTCAAATCTCTAGGCCTCTTAGTTTCAGAATTAAAAGCCAAAAACTATTTTCCCGCCAAATAATTCAAATAATATGGGTCGACTGCGACGTTGCCGTTCCGTGCGTCCACTAGAGCAGTCGAATTTGAACCTAAAAACTAGTAATGTTTGAATCATTTTTATTTTTAGTTTAAATCATTTAATTTCGATTATAAGAATTTTAGACTAGGAGCCGGCTGATTTGTGTATTGAGTACCTAATAACCTAACCTAACCTAACCTATTTGCTATCTCCTTATTTAAATCTCCTATTAAATAAGGAGATAACAATACTACAGTCCACACTAAAAAGAGAGGTCGGACCACAGAGAGCGAGATAGAGATAAGTAAGTATTTGACTCAAGTTGTTGTTCCAAGTGTGGCCTCCATTTTTATCTTTAGCTTCATGGATGTCGGGGATGTCATTTGTGTGTGTTAAATTATTTATGAGTGCGTGACAGTGATGTACCTTATGTCGCTTTATCGATAATATTAAATAAATTACGTAACAGTAATATTACAACTAAAATAGGATGGTAAGATTTTTATATTGCGTGAACTACGACTAAGAATATTTTTAAGAAAAACAGAAAATATTTCATATAATTTATATAACCAGTCGGCCGTTTCAGTGTTGTGTGGTTTGTAACGAACGTACTATACTAAGTATGACTATGAAAATAATAGCTATGCATTTAAAAAAAGATGCAAAAATTTAGAGCAGGGTCGTTTTCAATTCGTAGACTAAAAATAGAACCTCTATACAAAACAAATGTAAATTATATATTTTTACATATTTGGTAAATGATTAATGAATTACTATCCGTTCGCTTTAAGTTTGCCGCTGGCGATATGACGTCACTCTAAGACCCTTTTCACATGTTCCGGTTGCCGGCTAACCGGCGCCGGGTACGCGGTGGTGAAGTGTATGGATATGCCGGATTAACTACGCCGGAACATGTGAAAGCTACGTACCATGCCATGCCCATACACTTCACCACCGGATACCCGGCGCGCCGGTTAGCCGGCAACCGGGACGTGTGAAAAGGGCCTAAGGGAAGCGTCTATAACTTTATCAAACTAAATTTAAAATATCTTTTATTTATTATTATTGATAAAAAATGTGTATTTTTTTTTATGCAGAATTAGGCAGGTATTTGACCACAATCGCACCTGATGTTAAGTGGGATGCAGTCTAAAATGGTACATAATTATCTGCCCTGTAAGTGCCTATTCACTCTTGCCTTGAAAAGGCCCGGATTATAGTTTTCGGGAAAGACAGCAGCAGGCAATGAATTCCAATCCCTAGCTGTTCGCATTTGCGTAAAATAAGACACATTAATTGCGTTTAATCGCGGTTGGGGGTGGGAACGCGCATTCCACGGAACCGGCAAACTTAGCGCGAACGGGTAGTACTGATAAAAGATATCTTCATTCTGATTCCAATTCACTATTTGAAGTTTCGGATAGTATGTCTTCATTGGAATCAGCGTCTATTAAATCTGGTATTATTAATTCACCTCGAGTTTCAACATTCGCTCGGTCGTTTAAGGCCCGAATCGTTTTGTTACAGTTTATTGCAATATAATTTAAATGCTCTTTAATCCCAGGAAGTTTTTCAATTTCGTCAAGCAAAGATGCTAAGGTTATAACTTTATTCTTAGTTCGTTTATTTTGCGCCCTTAGGTTTCGAATGAGTTGCCGTTTCTTTTTTAATTTTTCTTGCAATTTAGAGCATTTAGATGTAAGCTTTTCTAATTGGGAAGATGTCGATGGTGCGGACGGAAGCGGTGGTGTAGTTCTAGACGGTTTATATGTGGATGCCTCTGGTAAGATGTCTCGAATAACGTAGGATGGCACTGTGCGTGTAGGTATTATTTTGACCTGTCAAAAAGAAAGAAACAAATCACTATAGAAATCACAGTCATAAATGTTAAATCATAATTTTATTACAGTATGATAGACTAGCGGCCGCCCACGACTTCGTACGCGTGGATCTCGTTTTACCCCCTACATCTATCTTACGCGGTTTAGATTTTTTCATACAAATGTTTTTTCCCGCTAACTCCCGTTCCCGTGGGATCCTGTTGTAACTAAGCTTTAAGTTTACTAAGGTACCATAATAAGATAAGGTTTAATAAGGTAAGGTACATGCCAAATTTTAAGCGTCTAACTTAAGCGGTTCAGATTTTTCATACAAAAGGATTTTCCCGCTAATTCCCGTTCCCGTAGGAATTTCGGGAATTCCTTTCTTAGTGCACCTCTACAGTACTTAAGCTACGTCCCTTCCAAATTTCAAGTGCCTACGTTTAGCCGTTTAGGCTGTGCGTTGATATGTCAGTCAGTCAGTCAGTTTCTCCTTTTATATATTTAATTAGATATATAGATAGTGTATTCGTTAAGCTAGCATCCATAACACAAGCACATTAATTAATTGTTTACTTTGGGGCTAGATGGCGCTGTGTGAAATAAATAATGAAACGAATAAACATACATACTTATATAAGATTTTTTATAAAAACATAGTTAAAAACATCCAGATCTAGGGCATTAATAAATAATGTTAACACACACAATGATAAATTTAGCCACATAGTACTAAATGAACGTTAGTACCCAATGAAACATCAGCAGAAGAAATAGCATTACATATTTTAATAAAAATTACCGGAACAAACTTAGTTGGAATTGCACATTTTTTCAAAACTCTTCTCCCTCCTAGTGTCTGGAAATATTTGTCTTCAAAATGTTTACTGCATAAACTAGACCATTTCTTCGGAATCCAGTTTGGACGATCAATTAATTTAAGCCATGCATTTTTTGTATCCTCGCTAGTAGGAAATCTGAAAGTTACGTTACTAATGTTATTGTATCTATTCTTACTCAAAAACTGATGCCAATGAATCGGCTCAGTATCTTAAATGGGATTATATTCCTAGGTGATTCATATCTAAACGCCATATACAGGGTGGCCAAAACAGTGAGGTCTAAAAGAAAAATTTAGATTCCTTACATCAAGGTGTTCCTCAAATCACCCCCATGTGTATAATACGATTGTGCTTAGTTTAGGAGATAGAGTTAATTTTGTGATATTTTAAAATTTTATGACCGAGTAGGCTTTAAACATTTTTATCTTTTTTTGGGTTGACTTTTTTTAGATTTCTTTTTTTAGACAGATGTGTTATGAATTGCAGATGTTTGAAAAAAATAATCACCTTCCTATCTTTGATTCAATATACAAAAGTTTTGCTAGAAACATTAAAATTATGCTTTTATCAGAACACTATGAAATTTTCAACTTAAAAGTTTAAATGAAAAAAAGAACTTCCATAGGTCCAAAACTATTTTAAAAACTGCGCCGTTTCCTGAACATTCATAATAATACAAAAAAACATGTACTTAATTGGTCACTATTTCCTGTAATCGGTCCACTAAAGTGGTAAGTCGAAGATTCCGTTACATGATTTTGACTTTCTTAGACTGAATTAATATTGGGAATCCTCTAAGTTTACATTACGTAGAACAGATTTAGAGCAGTAACTGGACAGAACATGTTTTTATTCTCAACGAGGAAGCTCTTGCCCTTCATCACACCTGGTGGAAACTGATGATTAGGCTGAAGGTGGAAGGGAACTTCAACCACAGAGGAACTATGGCTTCCTACCTCCAAATGCCGAAAAAAAGATAAAAATGTTTAAAGCCTACTAGGTCATAAAATTTTAAAATATCACAAAATTAACTCTATCTCCTAAACTAAGCACAATCGTTTTATATTTATAGGGGTGATTTAGGTACACCTTGATGTAAGGAATCTAAATTTTTCTGCCACCCTGTATAGGCCTGTTTCCTATAGTCAATTCTTATCCAAAATCGTCCTTTAAATTTCGATTAATGTCCTACATACTTTATAATGCGATTACACTTAATATTGTTTAAATAATAGTCTTTTAAACAGCAGCAGCTGGCCCGCCCATGGGAACGGCGAATAGATAAGTTTAACTCGGAAAAACTAAATAACAGGTAGGTATTGCGTGTACATCGAAATGATCTTCATAGCAATGTCTTGTAGCCTAGGCAGAGTGTATCTACCTCAGCTATACCTTATTGTTAGAAGTAAATAAATTAATACTTATACATTTTTATATTTTACTTGGACTTACTTTAAGAAGATATGACTCTAACAACACTTATGAACACTTTATTTGAATTAATCGCCAAATATACCACCGCGGAGACCCCAATCGCGTCTCTGCGTTCCATTGAATCGTATGAGCGTATGGATTTTTTGCGTTATTTTTCACAATTTCTATTTTTAAAAATTACCTATCGATAGCTTACTTTATTCTGATGAATAAATGTCATTACAAGTTTTTCTCTAAAACTGATAGTTTGGCTAGAAAAAAATATTTTCTATCCACGCAGTAAGCCGGCAGCGTTCGGATCAGATATAGTGACGTCATCGTCCCCGCGCCGGGCGGTCAGTGAACTTTTTTAGTAATTTGGCCATAACTTCGTCAATTTTTGTCGTAGAACAAAAATTTTTGGACTGTGTATTAAGGATTTCTTAGCCCTATAAATCTGCATTCACAGCTAAAAATCGAAATGATCCTCATTAAATAGGTAAGCAACAGTGATAAACAGTGGGACACGAAATAATATCGATAGCTTGATGCAGCACTAGTGTACAACGAAAATAATTTCTTTACACAAAATATTCGAAAATTCTGCAATAATGTGTATTCAATCTTTGCATAATACATAAAATTAAATAATTGTTTACAGATAAGAAATAACACACTTAGTGCTTAAAATTCGAAGCCCATTGGCAAAAATAAAACTTTATTTAAGAGGTGTCGATTAGAATTAATTTACCTATGAAATGAACACTTTTCGGGATTATTTCTTTGCGTTATGCCACAATCAATCACGGAACAAGTCACCATGTTTCTGAAATGCAACTTTTCAAAAATATCCACGATTCCACGTTTTTTTTTTTTTTTTCCCTTTTTTGGCTTTACACGGCTTGTGTGTTGCCATTCGTCGAGTAAAAACGATTCCACGTTAATTCTAATAAAATCCTTTTTTCAGCGTGCCAATGAGTGCTATCGCTAGAAAATGAGCGTGCTACCACAGAATAATAATAAGTACTAGCACAGCCCCCCTAGACAAAATGCACTTTTTGATCGAGTCGAAAATCGAATCCGTCAAAACTCCATACAAAAAAGGGACTTTTCGACTGGTTTGCGATTATAATTTGCACTTTGTCTAGACCCACAGATATAGTACTAGTATGACGTGCTGTCAGTGTCCTGTCACTACATACATACTCTCTAATCTGTGGTATAGATGACCCACGCTGAACTGTCCCACCAAACTCAATGACAGGGGGGCGCTACCATCGTTCAACTATATGGTTTCCAACATGGCAAAAATCGGAACTAGCGATCCGGTATTAACGGTGGCGCCCCACTGTCAATGTCATGCATAGGACAGCGCAGTATTTTGGAACTATACCGTACCCATATCTGTGACCGTACCAATCACTGACTTATCAACAAATTTTAATGTATTACCACAGAATAAGTAATAGTACAGGTACAGAAGGATTACTCCGCAAGACGATTTAAATAAATGCGAGTCTTGCTACGACGCGATACAGTGGAATTCAGCTCGCACAGCACTACGTACTTACAATTTTATTCACCTACAAGTTTTGTCTCTTTCTATCGCGTGCCTCTGAACTCTTCTTACGCTGCTAGGGTTGCTATGCTGTCTAGTGAAAAAATAGAATTAATCTACTTAGGTATTTGTAATGAGGTACGTATGTAGGTAAGTATTAGTGTTACTTTACCTTTGTAAAAATAACATTTTAAATATACCTACTTAGGATAAAAAAGTACTTATTTTAATACAATGTCTTCATTCATACCTATTTTAACATAAGACAAATAAATTAAACATACTTTTGGAAAAACCGTAAAACTTGAATCGCTTCTAGAGGGTCGGGGGTTGGTCCTACGGGGATGAAGTACATGACCTTTTCTTCTTGGTTTGAGGTCCCCTACATGATGGCATCAAAAAATTTTTTGATCGAAATTATTCTAAGTGTCGGAAGCCACCTTTAATTGGCTCTAAATCTGAAAGCGTTTGTTTTAGAGAGGTAGACCATATAAGCTTTTGTGCTTTGTTTTACGTCTTCTATGCAATTCTTGCAAGAAAACAAGGAATAATTGAAGAAAAAAAACTCGTCGAAATTATTCTAAGTGTTGATAGCGCACTTTTAATTGGCTCTAGAAAGTTAACGGTTGGTCCTAGAAAAAAAAGTTATCTGAAGATTAGTCTTATTTTAATCTATTCTAAACATTCCCGGCAAAAAAAGCCAAAAATTAAAAAAAAAAAATTTTTTTCATAAAAATTTTTCTTAGTCTCGTGCCCCATAGCGCCCCGTTTCCTATACTCCAACCCAAGTTTTATTAAAAGAAAAATATTGGAAACTTCTAAAGTCTGTGTAATCTGTTTTCTTAGAATAAAAAAATTAAACAATGTTAATTTTTATGAATTCATTTTTATTTTAATTAATTTAATTGGTATTTTGGCTTCACTTATTTCTGGGATTAGGCTTTCACCTAATGGACTAATAGCTTCAATATCTAATGAGCTGAAGTCTTTTATTATGTCTATATTTTTTCTCCACTTTTCTAATCCATTCCAAGCTATCATTACTCCATTGTCTGTACATAATTTTGGAAGTGGTCTACAGATTCTATAGTCAAATTCATTGCACAACATTGTTAGCGAATTAAAAATATAATTATTACAAGCTACTCCCCCTGATACAACAAGTTGCTTATTCTTCTCAGGCAATAAGTTGTTTCTATGACAAAATTCAATGGCTCGCTGTGTTCTGTGAACCAGGTGTCTGGATGTTGCCATTAACATTGCAGCACACAAATCATTTACTTCTGGGATCAATTTATGAGCCACTACTTCATGCTCTAACTCTTTCTTTTTAAGGTGTAAAAAAACCGAAGTTTTTAATCCATTAAAACTAAAGTTACAGTCCTTATAGTCAGCCAGAGGTAGTGGTAGTTTAAAAATATGTGGATTGGTAGCTTTGGCAGCAGCTCTTTCAACCGCTTCACCACCAGACATTTTAGCATATTCTGGTAAATTCCTTAATTTCATTTTTCTAGCTACTTTATCAAACATTTCTCCTGGTGCACTATCCATGCTTTCGCCCAGAAGTTTGAAAACATTAACATCTTCAGCAATAGCCAGTAGACAGTGACCTCCAGATATTAAAAGCACTAAGAATGGAAAATCTATATTGTGATGCATTCTTGCTGCTAGTGCATGTGCTTGCATATGATGAATTGGTATGATAGGTTTCTTGAAGCGTCGCGCGAGGTGCTTGGCGTACTTCATACCGATTGCGAGGCTCAGGGGTAAACCAGGCTTGAGAGTTACTGCTATGGCTGAGATATCCTCCATGGTTAATGAAGCGTTTCGGAGTGTTTTGGATACAATTGGTTCTATATGAGTACGATGCAAATCTTGAGCAACATCTGGAATTATTCCTCCATTTCGCAGGTGTACTAAGTTCTGTGAATGTAATGTTTCTGATAATAATACACCTGCGCCGTTTATAATAGCGCATCCGGTGTCATCACATGAAGTTTCAATTCCTAGTATGGTACCATTTGAATTGTATCTATTTTGTTTGTAATATAATGAGAGAGGTCTAAAATACAAATTGCTTTTGGATCGTAATGAACACATATGTTTTGTAAAATTTATCATTTTCCTGATAAGTAACCCTCTACTTATGAAGTTTGATTGATTGATCACGGCTTTGTCTTAGAATGAATTGATTTTGCGGCTTATTTACTCAATTAACATTATTTGTATCCGTAATCCGCATGGCTTGGATGAAGAAATTGAAAACTTTTCTGACATTTCATTCTGTCAAGTTGACAGACGGCGACAGCTGTCATTGTCCTTTGCTTTTCTTTTATAAAAATAGGCAAGGGCATAATATTATACAGCCACCAAGTCTTTAGTTTTTAGACTACCGATTTTTAGTCGGCCGATAGTTGGGCCCGATTTTAATTTGTATGAAGAATCAATCGGTGTAATGGTGCATCCAGACTAGAGATGGGTAGTGGGTAAAAACGCATTTCACCCGATTGGGTTAAAACTGGGTGATTTGGGATAAAAACCCGGTTTTTACCCATTATCACCCATTCTGGTGGGTGAAAACAAAAATAGCGTTTTTTTAAAGTGAGAAGTGGTATTTGTTGCTAAGGGAGCGTTCTAGTGTTACGTAATGCAATCTGGGGGGAGAGGAGGTCTTGAAAAACGTTACAATGCGTTACAGTGGCGGAAGGGCGGTTCGATTTCAAGTTTTTAAGCAGAAGTACTTTGTAGTTGGTGTTGTTATTTGTAACTTTATACCGTAATGTCATCAAAGAGAGAGTTTGGCATCTTTGGCATCCCCCCCCCCATGTCCTTGCCATGATCACAAATTATTGTGTTCCTACTAAATTTCTTCTAAATCGGTTCAACGATTCTTGAAATAACACCATTTTATAAAATAATTGGTCACATCATCATAACGTGATCAATTTTACGATTTGGCCACGATATAAATGCATATTAGTGTTAAATTTAACTTATTACTTATTAATCAATAAACCTAAATGAGAAAAATTCGATAAAAATAAAGAAAAGATACCAATTGAAATAATTATAAAATTATTTGTTTTCACCCGGTGTAAACACCCACGGGTGGAATGAAACGGGTTTCATGTGGGTTTTTACCCGGGTGGAAACCCATCTCTAATCCAGACTGGGCGCACGGGTTCGCGCGGCACGCTGGTCATCCTGCTCACCCTGAGCCCCGATTACGGTAATTTTTAACGTCAACAATCCAGACACGCTTCTCGATTCTGCGATACGATTGGTCAAAACAGCTGACGTACGCTGTTGAACGACCAATCGTATCGCAGAATCAGAAGCGCGTCTGGATTGGAAACGTTAAAAGTTACCGTAATCGGGGCTCAGCTCTTAGCACCTGCTCACCCTGCACCATAATGTGCGCACTTCCATACATGCCCATACTGATTACTTACCTAACTGCCCGAGTAAACTATCGGCCGAAAAAAATCGGTGGTCTGCGCCTAGGCTTAGGGCGTCTAGGTTCAAAAGCATGACATGACTCTACATGAGATCTGATAATAACTTTTACACAGTGCGAGCCATCGGTTCGCCTTGGCAACATTTTACATGATGTTTTTGGTGGGATTTATTATTATAATGTAGGTAATAATAACTTAGATATCCAATGCACGAATACTAATTAATGATCCAATGCACGATTCCAACTACAATAAACTTAAGTAACTTATGTGTATGTAGGTACAGTAAAGGTAAAATAAGAATTTAAAACAAATCAGCATAGACTTATTACATCACACAAACTAAATTCAACTTTCGAGAGAGGGATACGTACGATCCTACGCAGGTAGGTATAAATCTGACCCGAATGTTTTTTTCAACTTCTTTAGTTTGTTATGTGCATAATTTCCATCGGACGATATCTTGTAATCTGAGCTCAGTGGCGTATAACAATTCGCTTGCGCGTCTCAAACTCAGTGTGTTCTCCACAAAAATGTACAAATGTTCGCAATATCAAAACCTTGTAATGTATTTAAAGTTCAATAGCAAGACGTTGCTTCTAAAATCAGTGAGTGATAACAGTTTGAAGTTCTTAAGTCAAGAAGTGCCGATTCCTAAAAAATTTGACGAACTTCCCGGGCCGAAGTGCTATCCAATCGTTGGTACTCTGCATAAGTATTTGCCTATTATAGGTAAGGTATTGGTATCACTATACTTATTAAGAAAATGTAATTTTAGCTCGAACTGGCTGTTCACATTATTATTTAATTGTGTCGAATACAATATAATCGTATGCAAATGTATGAAATTTTCTCAACAACGCGTAACAATGTCACTCTTTTCGAATATTACACATTAACACAATATTACTTTACTATTACTACACACACACCTATACAAACAGTTTTATCTTTTTATTAGTATTCTTTTCGTAGTCTTATCATCCTTACAGATTTCCCGCCTTTTGTATTTATTTGTGTACTAATATTACCAGGCCTGAGCCCCGATTACGGTAACTTTTATAACGTCTACAATCCAGACGCGTTTCTGATTCTGCGATACGATTGGTCAAAACAGCTGACGTACGCTGTTGAACGACCAATCGTATCGCAGAATCGAGAAGCGTGTCTGGATTGTTGACGTTAAAAATTACCGTAATCGGGGCTCTGTTCATCTCCGCGAGTTTACATCGAAAACAAAACACGCACGATGGCCCACCCACAGGATACTATTCGACAAGGCCTCACATACGAGCGAACATTGACTCACGCACGCGTATTCTTGTGTATGATGAAAGAAAATAAAGAAAATGGTGTACTAAATACTGTGCAGTATTTAGCTGCCTAAATAATAATAAAAACACAGAATGTACTTTTTTAAGTTGCCTCAAGACACTGAGAGGTAAATAAGTAGTTAATATTATTCATGATAATTCATGCTAAATCATGTATTTCCTCCGCCATTTTCCGCAGTTTGCACCTCACGTCACATCATTTTGCTGAAGTCAGCCCTATAGCTTCGGCGCAGTGCCGATCACTGATGTTTGTCAACAAAATGGTGCTTGACTCTTGAGACAGGCTAAATTACACCATATTGTTAATGACATTGAGCATACATTTTTTTAAATACCTTCGCGAAGTAAAACTTCTGTACGTAGTACTTATTATTATTCTGTGATATTACTATTTATGTATGCTTAGCTAGACAATTTTATGCAGCTTATTATTTTATTTATTTTTACCAATGGTCCGTGACCCTCACTCGGCATGGGGCACACTGATAACCAGCGCCGTGGCCTTCGTCACCGTGGGCCACGGCATATTATGCTGAGTGGGGTCCCGTTGCAGTGGGCATCTTGTTGGTGAATGGGTGGCACTGCTCAGTTTACTCTTGTTTTTATGTTTTTTCTTCTTCCAATATTATGTGCCACTGTCATGTCTATGTAAATTGCCTGTATTTGTGTGATGTCCATTGTAATAAATGTATCTTTCTTTCTTTCTTTATTTAAATTTTTAGGCGATTACGACGCTGAGGCTCTAGATAAAAATGCATGGTTGAACTATCGTAAATATGGCGATTTGGTGCGGGAGTTCCCGGGAGTGAGGTTGCTCCACGTCTATGACCCCGACGACATCGAAAACGTGTTCCGCCAAGATGACCGGTATCCCGCAAGGAGGAGCCATGTCGCCATGAGAGACTATCGTCTGAAGAAAACTGACGTTTATAACACGGGAGGACTTCTTTCCATGTATGTATAATAAACTAATTTTTCTATTGACCTAGTAAACTATGCATTATAGCGAAAGAAGCTTTTGAAGAAATAAATTAATACTTACCTAAGTATAGTCTCAAGCTAAGAAAAGCTTGTATTGTTTATTATCACTCGGATATAAGTAAATTACTGAAATACTTTTAATTTTGTAAATACAGAAATAAATTCAAAAACAAATCTAGAGCAAAACAAAATAAGGTTATGCCTACAATGTTCGTTGTATTACTTATTATTATTCTGTGGTTGTATTGTATCGAACCCGGGACCCCAGGAACAGAGAACAGCCCCGCTAAGCTAGAGAATGCTTTTAGTGTCTGGGTTATTGCGATATTGTGACGTAAATAGGTGATAAACTGCCCCCCTAGACAAAAAGCACTTTTTGATCGAATCGAAAATCGAATCCGTCAAAACTCCATACAAAAAAGGGGCTTTTCGACCACTTTTCGACTGGTTTGCGATTATAAATGCACTTTGTCTAGACCCACTGATAACTCAATCGCGCGATAACCGCAATACCCACTTTAAAAAATTAAAATGTACAAAAAATATTCACGCGTAAAACCTAGGTATCCACATGTTGTAGGTACATACACAACACCTTAGGCTGAGTTGCACCACCTAACTTTAACACTAACTATGACGATAACCGGTGTGTTTTGTATGGAGTTTGACAGATTTTTGATGTTTGTTAAAGTNCTTTCTTTCTTTCTTTATTTAAATTTTTAGGCGATTACGACGCTGAGGCTCTAGATAAAAATGCATGGTTGAACTATCGTAAATATGGCGATTTGGTGCGGGAGTTCCCGGGAGTGAGGTTGCTCCACGTCTATGACCCCGACGACATCGAAAACGTGTTCCGCCAAGATGACCGGTATCCCGCAAGGAGGAGCCATGTCGCCATGAGAGACTATCGTCTGAAGAAAACTGACGTTTATAACACGGGAGGACTTCTTTCCATGTATGTATAATAAACTAATTTTTCTATTGACCTAGTAAACTATGCATTATAGCGAAAGAAGCTTTTGAAGAAATAAATTAATACTTACCTAAGTATAGTCTCAAGCTAAGAAAAGCTTGTATTGTTTATTATCACTCGGATATAAGTAAATTACTGAAATACTTTTTTTTTTGTAAATACAGAAATAAATTCAAAAACAAATCTAGAGCAAAACAAAATAAGGTTATGCCTACAATGTTCGTTGTATTACTTATTATTATTCTGTGGTTGTATTGTATCGAACCCGGGACCCCAGGAACAGAGAACAGCCCCGCTAAGCTAGAGACTGCTTTTAGTGTCTGGGTTATTGCGATATTGTGACGTAAATAGGTGATAAAATGCCCCCCTAGACAAAAAGCACTTTTTGATCGAATCGAAAATCGAATCCGTCAAAACTCCATACAAAAAAGGGGCTTTTCGACCACTTTTCGACTGGTTTGCGATTATAAATGCACTTTGTCTAGACCCACTGATAACTCAATCGCGCGATAACCGCAATACCCACTTTAAAAAATTAAAATGTACAAAAAATATTCACGCGTAAAACCTAGGTATCCACATGTTGTAGGTACATACACAACACCTTAGGCTGAGTTGCACCACCTAACTTTAACACTAACTATGACGATAACCGGTGTGTTTTGTATGGAGTTTGACAGATTTTTGATGTTTGTTAAAGTTAAAGTAAGATGGTGCAACCCAGCCTTAGACTGAGTTGCACCACCTTACTTTAACAGTAACTATAAAGATAACTGGTGCTTTTTATATGGAGTTTGATAGATTTTTGACGTTTATTAAAGTTAAAGTAAGATGGTGCAACCTAGCCTACTAGGTTCGATTCTCAAAATACCTAGTAGGAATAGATTTTTGAGATCTTGCTGATTAACAGTCAGACGAACCTAACAGCTGCTGAAGTCTGATCCCACTACTAATAACCCATTGCAAAAACCCATATTGAAGCATTAACTATTTTTTTAGGAATGGTCCAGAGTGGTGGAAACTTCGGAGTACGTTCCAAAAGAATTTCACTAGCCCCAAAAGTGTCAAAGTTCATGTCGAGAGCACGGACGGTGTCGTGAAGGAATTAGTTCATTGTATTAAGAAAACTTTTACACCAGGCAATGACTTTCTACCATATCTAAATAGGCTGAACTTAGAAGGTGAGTAAAGTAATACACGCGATTCACAAAAAATACTATGAGGTCTCACAGACACAGTGCGCGTGGACGCACAGAGTGACACACGAATCAATCACATTACCATGAGTTTACGTTAGGTGTGCTCGCTAGCAACAGCGTAAAACAATGTATGACTTCATAGATTTTTTTGGCGTACTCGCTAGCGAGCATACCTAGCGTAAACTCATGGTAGGCGGCACACAGAGCTCTATTCAACGCTACGTGTGTTCGATTTGCTGCTTCATTTTGTCGTTTGTGAATACGGGCGTATACAAATGTAACAGCCTTATAAGCTACAAATGTCTGAGTATAGAATAAAATTTCTCTTTCTTCATACTAGAAGAATATTTGTAAATTATGTAATTGTTAAATTTAACTACGCGTTCTTAATTTGTTTGTGTTACTTATCACAAAGCATTCTTGCGTTTCAGTTATCGGTCTCATAGCGTTCAATGAACGTTTCAACAGTTTTTCTGAAGAGGAGCAGGAACCTCAGTCTAGGAGCAGTAGAACTATAGCAGCAGCGTTTGGATCTAATAGTGGCATTATGAAACTTGATAAGGGGTTTCTTTGGAAATATTTCAAAACGCCTTTGTACAGACAACTTGAGAATTCTCAAGAGTATTTAGAGAAGTATGATTCTGTATTATGGACTTGCATATTTTTATTAACTGCATTTTAATAAGTAAGGTACTTAAATCATCATAATTTTATTTGTCAAACTTTTTACGTTTTTTTACAGGGTTGCTTTAGATATTTTACTAAATAGAGTTAGTTTTTATGAATCAGAGAGCACCTCTGATAACTCATTGCTATGTTCATTTCTGCAACAGACGAATGTGGATTTCAAGGATATTGTTGGAATGATGGTTGACATTTTAATGGCTGCTATTGATACGGTATGTGCGAGTGTAGTAAACATTTTATATTTAATGTAACTATACTAATCTCTTCAAAATGTAGGATGAAAGTTTTGTTTTAGTCTTATCAAAAAGCGACTAAAGTGACTAACATGATATTCCCTAATTTCAGACTTCGTACGCAACGAGTTTTGTACTATACCACTTGGCACGCAATGTAGAGGCTCAGGATAAACTGTTTCAAGAGATTGTGACTCTACTGCCCACCAAAGATTGTGGAATAACGCCTGACATAATATCAAAGGCTGTATACTTACGCAGCTGTGTAAAAGAAAGTCTAAGATTAAATCCAGTGGCGATTGGAGTCGGCCGGTTGTTACAGAAAGATATAATATTGAAGGGATTTTTAATACCTGCAGGTGTGAGTATTCGTTTGGGACCATTTAATTTATTAGTTAGATAAGATAAATAGGCTCTTATTAAATTTCTAATATTATGACACACGCTAACAACTTTCCAAGCAAATAGTACGAAAAGACCAAATTGACGATTAGGCCATAAAATGTGAGAATAAGTAATGCCTCTTTTATTTTGTTTATAAGATAAGTAGTCAATGTAAATTTTTTGAGCGAGGACATTTATTTTGCAATATATTTTTTCAGACGGTAATAGTTACACAGAACATGGTGTCTTCACGTCTACCTCAATATGTTAAAGAGCCTCTGACATTCAAGCCCGAACGGTGGATAAGAGGTTCATCCGATTACGAGAATATTCATCCCTTCTTAAGTTTACCATTTGGATTTGGTCCTCGTTCCTGTATTGCTAGGAGATTGGCTGAGCAAAATATGTGTATTACATTGATGCGAGTATGTCTTTTTTATACTTAACCCAGAAGTTTTGAATGTTTTTTGAATTAATAAAAAAATTGTACTTTTTTGTTCCAGCTATTACGAGAATTTGAACTTAAATGGACTGGAGGAAACCTAGGTATTCGTACATTCCTTATCAATAAGCCTGATAAGCCAGTCTCATTGACATTTTTATCAAGACAACTTTGAAAAAAAGGGAAATAAAACAATAAAATATTAAAGTAATTAATTTATTTTCAGTATAATTTATTATCACCACCTGCCCCTCGGGTAAAGCATGGAATATGCTTAAGAATTATTTCAAACAGCTATCAAGTGCTTGTTCGAACTAAAACTAGCCGCATATCTACTTCAATTTGTCGGCCGTTTGGTGTAGTGGTTCGAATCGGACTACTATTCCGGAGGTTGCGGGTTCGATTCCCGCACAGTACAAACATTTGTGTGCATGAACATATTTGTTTGTATTGGACTGGGTGTTTTCTATGTATAATATGTATGTATTTAAAAAAAAAAAAAAGTATTTTAAGTATGTTTATATCCGTTGTCTAGTACCCATAGTACAAGCTTTGCTTAGTTTGGGGCTAGCGGCGTAGTGTAAAATGTCCAAGGATATTTATTTATTATTATTTATTTATAATTCAGTTACTACCAATTTTTTAAGACCTAGCTATCTACTCCATATCAAAACATAGCATATCTTACGGGAGATAAATATGCAGAGACCGGGCGTTTATCTTTGATTTGTATAGATTTTTCTAGCCTAGGTAAAATACGTTCTACAACAATATCATGAACGCACGATGTCGGATCCTCTTTCAAAACATTTTCAGTTACGACCGGGAAATACGGGACTAAAAATTCAGGGGCAGATGACATAACAATCGGAGTACGTACGTAAGCGTCTGTTAATATTTCCTGGGACATATAAGCAACCGGTCTGGCAATTTGCGGTTTGGATTCTATGACGACTTTTTCCATTTCAAGTTCAGGAGGACAAGGAGCAACAATTTCATGAGCCTCTTCTATTACCATAGGCACTTTGGGGATTTCCAACGGTGGGAGAACTGGAGCAGATGGAATTAGAACAGGTTCTACCACTTCAACGGTATCATCACAATGCACATTCTCATGAATTTCAACATTAACTGGAAGTTCAGGAAGTGAAAGAGGGGGTAAAACTGGAGCTTCGGGAATGTATACATGTTTTTCTTCAACCACAATGACTTCGTTCTGTTCTTCATTTGGTGGGCAGGGAATAACGTCTGTTTTTTCGATCTCCACAGTTAATCCTGGCATTTCAAATGCAGGTAGTACTGGAGTGGCTTCAAACATTTCTTTTTCAACTACTACGCTAATTGGTTTTGACACCGGAACGTATGGTGGCAGTACAGGGGCCTCAGGCACGACTAAGGGTTTTTCTTCTACCACTATTTCCGGGAGATCTGGAACATAAGGAGGCAAAACTGGTGCAGTGGGAACTTCAACGGTCTTAATTTCTATTTCATGATGTTCTTCTCCATGCAGACAAGGCACTACACTGTGTTCTTCTACTAATACTGGTAACTTTGGCATTTCAAATTCAGACAGTACTGGGGCAGCTGGAATTTCAATGGTTTCAATAAAGTTTCCTTCAATCACAGGTTTAGGCACTTCCACTTGAATATACGGAGGTAGTACTGGGGCTTCTGGAGGTGTGACTACTACTTCTCGGACATAACTTTCAGGAATAAAAGATGGCACGACTACTTCAGGAACATTCTCCTTCACAATAATTTCAGCAACTTCTTCTCTCGGAATCATGGGTAACTCTAGTGGAGGTAATACTGGTGCAGGAGGAACTTCAACCACAGCAACAGTTTCAGGGGCCTCTATAATAACAGGTTTCGGAATTTCGAGATGAGGAACGTAAGGCGTTAATACAGGTGCCTCAGGAATCACTACATGTTCTTCTTCTTCATGAAGACAAGGTTCTTCTAGTTTGATTGATTCTTCAACTACCACGGGTATTTTGTGCATTCTGTGCAATTCCATAACATGTCCTTCTGACACTGATGGCACAAATGGTTTCAGTTCCAAAGTCGGTTGTACAACATGTTGAGTATATGCTACTGGATTAATTTCAATTGTTTCTTTGATGATTGGTTTTGATGATGCCACAATTTCTTGCTCTACGACTCGCAGTGGTTCTTCCATCAACATGGGAATGGGTCCCATGGGTAACCTTGTTTTACAGTCATCTTGTTCAATTTCAGCAATCATTGATTGAACTTGAGGTGGCATTTGTGCAGCAGCCAACATAAATTGTGGCTTGAAGAAAACATTGGTACCTTTTTGGATGAAGTTTGAAATAACTGGAGATCCTCCCGACGAAGGTAAATGCTCGTATTCTGTAATCTTGTCATGTGACGAGTGCTTGGTTATGACAATTTCTGTTGGTGGTTTCGCACGGGGTATGTAAGGTCCAGCAGAAACTGCTGTTCCGAAAAGGAACAAAACTAGCCCCGTTGATATCTGGAACAGAAAACGATGTTTTGGTTATTTTTTATCATGCAACAGAAAATCTTATCAAGTGGATGAGTTAGGTAGATAAAGTGTTATTTTGTATCAAATATTGGATTCTAATTCCAATTTCATTCATATAGAAATGTTTATAAGATTCAAATGCTTACCATGATGCAGCTTACTGGACGAGTAAAAAAACAATGATGATTAGATTAAAAGATAAGGCCAATTTATATGATTTTGAAAATATATCTACAACAGGTTCATCTAGGTGCTAATCGAATTAAAGTAGAGCAATTACTTGAACTTGTTCTAATTATTGTATTTGTAATGTTTATGTAGCTTCTATGTCCGTCAATATTGTAAGTATTATTGTTATTTAATTAACTCAATAATAGTATTATGACGAAACTATTCTGTATTTAAGGTGTATAATTTATTGTATGGGTACAGTTGATTGGAAATTACGAACAATACCACAACACATCAACCACCAAAGCATTTACTTGTATCTTCAAAATGAACATGGTAAGTTTACCTACAAGATTAATTTTACCGAAATTCGTTGTCTTATAAAATAATAATGATTAACATTGTATGTAAAGTGTACTATTTACTTACCTAGTGTGTACCTACATCACGACAATAAACCGAACCGAACCCGCAACCATAGTTTGCCATGTCATTTGTAATCCTACTCGAGTTTCCAGGGCAGGGCCTTGTAATATGACTTCTAAGGTATAACAGAAAGAGAGAGAAAGGGAATTTTTAATATCCAATGCACTCAAACTCAATGCAGCATTACTCTCTAGCACTCTAAGCAGCTATAAAAACATTGTCCGAAAGGGGATGATTCTTGTCCTATCGAGTTATCGATGTCTAAGAAATAAATTTACTTTCTATATTGTATTTTTAGCAGTGTAAATGTTTTGATTACCAATAATAACATCTTACCAACATTTTACAGTACATCGCAATTTGGCTTCTGTGTGCGGTCGCTTACTGCATAGCGGCTCCATCTTCCCTTCGGACCCTTCCCGCTGTCCACCACGAGGAAATCCACGACGACTTCGGGCAGTATGCTCTGAGATACGTCACAGCCGAAGGCATTATCGTCTCGGAGCGAGGCCGCTTGGTCCCCAACCCTGATGGCAGGGACCACGCCCTCGTGGTAGAAGGAGAGGTGTCATACATCGGGGAGGACGGCAAGAACTACGTCACCAAGTACTCAGCTGGTTTTGATGGAAGCATAATGGAGGGAGATCACATCCCGGTTGCCCCCAAGGCATAATGTCACTGGAAATCGCTTATTGTTGTTAAGTGTAAATAAAATTATTTATTTTTAATTTATGTTAAGTACTTTATTAACCTTTATACTCGTATTATGCACCTTTACTTACCGAACAATGATGAGTGTATACTTATTTAATGTTAGAAAATACAAGTTTCTTTCTAGAAATACAGGAAATCACTAATTAATAATACTGGTTTGTATTCGTGTTGTTGTTTAAAGCTTGCTATTAGAAATTGACAATAATTATCTAACTACTTGTGGAAAATACCTCATTAGAAAATGTTTATTGTTATAAAAGATCATGCAATACAATATTGAACTAGATATTGAATTTGATAGGTTCACAAATGTTTCTAAGCGCATTTGTTTATGAAATACCTAACGGAAAAACTATTTGGAGATAAAATTCTTCTAGTTGATAAAAGTATATGACTTGCCTTTATCAGCGACTTCGCATGCCTCAAATTCAGTTTTTCACAGATCTTTTTAAATTATAGCCTTTCTTATTCTGATGTATTAAGCAATTTATACTGTAAAGTTTTATTAAAATACGGATTTGCAGTAGTTTTTGCGTGAAAGAGTAACAGACATCCAAACATCCATCTTTACAAACTTTCACATTAGTAGGTAACTATATTATTTTTATTAGGATAAAATGGGTAAAGATCTGCCCAGAATCTAGAACCACAAATTACAAAGTACCGTAAGCAGACGGTACGGCACAGATGCAATGTACTTTTAATTTCTTTTAGATTGATCTCTCAATTACTATAATGAGCATTTTTTCAATATATAAAGTCCTGAGATTTATCTCAGACAATAACTCACGAGAACACTACAATTCAAGGTACGTTTTATGTACATGTTCATTGGAATATTTATTAGGTTCTAACCTTTTATCTAATTATACTCGTAGGCTTACTTTATCATAAACATTTTATTTGTTTAATTAATCACTTCCTTTGCGTTTTTGGCAATATTGGTACGAACCTACCTAAGTATCGCAAAGATATAGGTCATATACCTTCAAAGATATCTTAGAAATGTTCGTTTTCAGTATTTTAATGAATTTTATAAAATAAACACAATTTTGTTTACAGATGTTTCTAGTCGGAGTTTTGTTTTTGGCAGCTAGCGCACTGGCGCAACCTACTCTTTACGTTGCACGTGGTACTTGGTGGGACCCCTTTTCCTTAATTCCGTTTCGTAGTAGTCCAGAGATAGCAATTATTAAATATAAAGAGGCAAAAGAAGTACTCGTGAAGGACACGGAAGTGATCCCCGAGGGTCCTGTACTGGATCCACTTCCAATGCTCGATTCAGTTGTACTAGAAAAAGAGGACATTAAAGAAGAATCCGAGGAAAAGAAAGATAGAGAAGAGATTGAACATGAAAGTATTGAAGAACTTAGGGAGGAAGTGCTTAAAGAGGAGGCTCCAAAGAAAGAGGAATCTGAAGAAGATAAAAAAGTTTTGGTGAAATTGGTTCCTCCGCCTCTTAAGCTGATTAGGCTAGCACCGAATTACTACGATTTCTTATAAATATTATTACTGAAAACCGTGGTCTTTGATAAATGCAGATGAAATGAATGTTATATTTCACTTCGGGAAACAGAATACATACCTAAATAACAAGTCGGTATGATATAATAATATGTATTTATTATAATAATTATGATATCATGTATCGATAACAATAAAAGACATTTTCACATATTGCATTTGTTTTTTTTTAATGTTTAGGAACCTCAAACAATAAAATCAACCCAGCTTTTTATTTCATTGAATATCCCTCAGGAACTACATAAGTTTGTTACTTTTATCCTAGACTACCTAGGATAAAAGTAAGAATCTTGGTGGTGTTTTAAACTTCTTACTAATCATTGTATAGCATGGGCCAAACTTACCAGTGTCATTTTAAAGTAGGTAACTATAGTCAGTTGCATTTCAGTATCGGTGTTGAGGAATTATCAGAATAGAATTTATTGATATAGTTCCAGTTATACGAGTATTTAGACAGATAGGTACTAAGTAATCTTTAACGTAATGACTAGAACTTATTTTGTGTACCTACGCACTTCTTCGAAATTGCATTCTTCGGCTGATTCATATGGACAAATTTCAAATTCAATTTTGGGTCTGTAACATAGACTCATATGAAAATAGGTACACCCAATAACATATATTTGGATGAGGGACTCGTTTTTATAAAGTAGTTTTCAAGATATCGACGTTCAAATATTTTGTGCCCATATAAATCAGAATTTGTTACATATTAATCAAAAATAGAAATAAAATTTAAAATCTTTATGTACAATTGGCTCTAAATTAAGAAAATAATCATATTATAACAAAAACAATGATCTGTTGTTATGAAAAAAATATCAGTTATCAAAATATTACGAGAAAAAAATGCAACGAATTCCACAAAATTCGTGAAAAACATTTTTTGAAACTTTAGTATACATCCATAATATTTTGTCATCATCATAATCATTTCAACCATAGGATCCACTACTGAACATAAGCCTCCAGCAATAATTTCCATAATCACCGGTTGGTAGCGGCCTGCATCCAGCGCCTTCCTGTGGATGAACGTTCTACACTGAGCTTTCCGGCACGTGGCTTCCACTCCAGAAACATGCTATCCCATCGGCCATCAGTTCTGCATACTGTGTCCTGCCCATTAACACTTCAGCTTGCTAAAACATCGGACTATGCCACCATGCGACTTTAGATCGTTTATGGATCTCCTCATTTCAGATTCGATTGCATAAAAAAAACCAAGCATAGTCCACTGCATAGTAGTGAGAGGCCACTTTTCAGTATAATATGTCATCCCTGATAACACACACTGGATGTAGACTTTCATCTTATGGCACTAAGGTATTTTAGATGACTATAGAGTCAGTAAAACAACATCAGTGATACATCATCATAGGATGATGTATCACTTATCCAAGCCATCGTTGTTAAGACGTCCACCCACAAGGTGAAGAAGGTGAGATGAGCTTATAGAGGTTGTGGCAATGGCAATCAGTTAATCTCGAAATCATTGGAGGCCTATGCTCAGCAGTATATTATTATGTGCTATGGACGCCATAAGTGTAGCTGAAATTATAATAAAAATAAATAATCGTTGGGCAATTTCATACAGCGCCATTTAGCCACAAAATAAGCAACAAATATGCTTGTGTTATGGTTGCTTGCTTAACGGATATACTACTTATTTACTGTTTAAACACATACATTAATCATAGTATAAAAATGATAATGATTTTTTTATTCATAACAAGACCGCAATCGCACCTGATCTTAAGTGAGATGCAGTCTGGGATATCATTTTTAGCTAACAAACACTTTTTAGGTGCTTGATAGATCAAAAACTAATTTATTTTATGATTCATATAGGGCCCTGACCATATGAATCACGCACAGATGAATCAGTTTTTTGCCTAAAATCGAGCAAAACTCGTCATACATACAGACTACAGTGTTGTCATTTTTCTACATGAATCTATAACCGAAAAGCATCACATGAGAGACAGATTAGATTTTTAATGCAATAATATAATTTTATAAAGTAGGCATTGTAATCAGCATGCCACCTGAACCAAGCACAGATGAATCAAGTATTTGCCTTCGTTAGACCGGGTTCTAAGCCAACTAGCTCCACGTGTGCCTTCTAGCTCATCCGTTGCAAGATGGGCTTGCCTCCACGCCAGAAACCAGACTCTCATGATTAAAACCTGACCAGTTATGGTCAAGAACAGCTCACGCCATATGAATCAGTATTTTATGCCGGACACTGCTTATTTATTTTTTTGCAAACAAACTAACTTAATTAAAATTATTACGCATTTTTTTTGGAGAAAGACAACTCATTACCTTTCGAGATAATTTTAATTTATATTGATATATCAAAAGGAAAATGCTACATCAACCATTTTGTTCCGGAAAATGGCTAACGGACACACCATATGAATCAGAGAATCACACTTCAAATATTTTTATTTTGTATAAAGACAGCAAATATGTAAAAAATGTAATTTGCGCCAGATAGGGCTATAGTTAAGCTATACGAAAAAAAATATTGCATGCCATTTTGTTAGTTGGTTACAGAACTATACCCAAAGACATCGAAAATTTTGCCTCCGAAGAAATACCCACCTACTACGATAATCTCCGTAGCAATTGTATCCACATACGATTTGTACTAATTATATGTTTATTCACATGTTTGTAGTATAATTTAGAGGGACCTAATAATATAAATAAAATTATAAAATAGTCTTGTTACTTAATTTATTACTACTGTCCGTAATTATGTTGCCGTTCATTTTCCGAAAGAGTCACCAGACCAAGGCGTCAGCGTAGGAATTGATGGTGGAGGGCGTTTCTGGACAGAGGCAGGGCCGGCTGGCCGCATGGTGTTCATCACTTGGGGTGGCTCGGTTGGCACCAGCTGAAGGTCATTCATGCTGAACTTGTGGCTTCCTCTACCTCGCCCTGCTGCGGGCTCTCGAACGTAACGATCACCGTGCATTACGTTCTCAGTAGTGGAGTCGTAGTATTGAGGCATTTGGTTCTGGTAACTCATCTCCATTGGCATTGGCTGTTGTTGGCTATACATGCCATCGTTGTACGAGAGAGGCATACTCGCAGGCTGGTAGGTAGGCTGCACAGGCGCCGGGGTTGAGGCAGGCTGGTACGTGTTTACGGGCTTAGCAGCATACCTGCTAGGTTTGTGGTGAGCATGGTTTCTAAAACTATCGTCAGATAAATCCATCCATCTCGGTGTGGTAGGTGGAGGCGGCATCGTCGCTGGTAAATGAGCGTTGTACGGGCCCAGGGGCACATAAGGAGTCATGGTGCTAACACTGTTTTTGTCTGCAAGCCGATGAAGATGCACGGTGTTCATGTCTGGGACATATTCTTGGTCGAGTTTCGGGATGGGCATGGCCGTGGTCGATGGTCGTGGCCGTCCCATGTACTTGCCAAGGTTTTCTTCTCGTACTTCTACTTGTGGGGGTTGATCAATGCGTGCTTGCTGGAAGTTGTAGAAGAAATTGGAAGATGGCTGGATCCGAAGATCTCTGTTGTAAATGTCATCGTTGAAGTCCATCGGGACGCTGCTTGATGCACCGGAGGGGCCATAGTGTTGAGCGAGGGCTGCTGACGTCAACAACAAGCACGCTGTTAGGCGAAGCATCTGCAATTAGGTAAAAATATATTTTATTAATTGAAAAACATAAAGAAAAAAAGCATTTGTAAATGATTGAAAGTCGTCTTTACCTTTATAAAAGTCGATGTGTACTGAGATCGTTTGTGGGGACCATTCGTTTTATATAACGACATTTTAACAAAATAAAACAAGAAATACAACATGTTTAGTAATTTGTAATAATCTAATGATAATTGCTGTATAATAATTAGAATAGGTAATATTTTGCGTAAGTTTCTCACTAGAAAGCAAAACCTATAACTATTTTAGTCAGAATGTGGATTTGCAAATAAAACGCTAAGTGGTTAACAATTACTTTATGTGGACAGGAATATGGTAATTAAATAACAATTAGTATCAAAATATACACTGTGCAAATAAAGTTAAGTTGGTAATAAAGTTACATAGTGAAATAAATTAAAAAGTAATATTAAATGACACTGTTGCCTGTTTTGGGCACTCATTGAAATAGTCACTGCAACAAGTTGACATTACAGTCACAATCGTCATCACGACGATTTCAAATGGCAAGTTATTCGCAGTGACGTTAGGAAAAATGCACCTGAAGATAAAGTAGACAGTTTTCCAGGCACTCTTTTAAGGCGAACTGTTAATATAATTTAAGAAGTTAAACATTTTTAAAATTTTAAAACACTCTATACTTATTGATTCATTTTACATAAATGTACAAACGTCATCATTACTATTCATGTTTAACCGTAACTCGTTATTTTATCCAATTTTGTTTCCTACCTGAAAAGGCTTTAGTGGTTCTTAGCACCTACGCGCACCATTTTAAGGAGATCATTTAGTGATATTGAAAAGTTCAATGACTTCCCCCTTGTTTTAAAACTTTGTAAAAACCAGTTTCCTTATTTGAGTCTCATAAAATAAGATTTATAATAGTTGAATGAATTAACGGTAAAGTTTTAGAACTATTGTCAATTCACCAAAGAAACTTCAGGATAATCATTCATATACATGAGCTTATGTACAATAAGTCTATGGCTTAAATTTTAATCTTTATTTTAACTAAATCATATGTAACTGCGCAATGGCACTGGGATTGATGCAATGTTAAGTTAACTTAATAATAATATTTGATATTAAATAAGGATTCAATATCTCGTATTCGCTATACTTAGATCAAAATAATGGCTAAGAAGTTCGCTTCGTTCGATTAGAATAAGTCGTTTTGTCTCCTATGCTTACACAAATTGAATGAACTAGAAATACTGATCAATAAATAAATTAATTAGGTAACTCAATGTTTCCTACAATAAGTATGGGTGACCTTGTCAGTTCACAGGTCGAGGGTCATAAGGGGTTGCATCGTGGCCAACATATCTGTTGTTTTTGCGAATTTGGAACCCTTCGCCTGGTGCCGTATTGTAATATATAACTCGGCGTATTCCGAAGGGATCAACGTAGCCAAAGCTACCAGTTTTTTCATTTCCTTCATTTGTTTCTTCTTCATGGTATTGTTTGGGTAGGTAGTACCGGAACCCGTTTCGTCTAAAGGCTACGCCGTCGTAACCGGGGAATTGAGGCGTGTATCCATCTCCTATTCTGACGTTTTGTCTCTGTCTTTGAAGCCAGGCGTCAGCATGTCTGTACGAATTAGGATTGAAAACGTCATAGCGTCTATAGGGGGTGCTGTCGCTAGCGTAGTAGCCATCGTCAAGGGTGTTGGTATTTGATGAATCGTAGTCGTAAGGGCTTGATGAAGGTGCAGCTTCACTGGCCGTGATCGGTGGAACTGTGGGCCTGAAGTCGTATTTAGGAGTAGATGAGTCTATGGAGTTGGGGGATACGTAGACGTTGGGCGTCGACGTTGGGTTGTAGGCTGTGGAGTATGGAGTGGAGCTTGGATACGGAGTGGAACTGGGATATGAGGGCGGTGGGGGTGTGACAGAGACTTCAGCAGGGAACGAAGGTGAAGGAGGCGCAAGGGTGGGGGAGGGAGAGTAGGGCGCTCGGGTCACTCCCATTGGAGGTCCGCGGTTGCGCTGCACGGCGGGCGGAGGCGCAGGAGTGACGCCGAAACCAGAGTCCGTTGGTGCTGTTTTTGCAATTTTTAGTGACTCCTGAAAAGTAACATAAATTAACTTAGAATCTAATTTATAATACAAAATTTATCATTGATTCGTACCTATATCAAGTTAGAGGCAATTTTGAACTTAAAGTGGACGAAATTACATTAGCTTAATCTCTACAATAAACAATTTACTACAACTTACGCCAATTGGTCGATTTTGTCCAACAAAAACAGTCTTAGATTTGTATATCCTGTAGCCCTGATTATCTGCTATGTAATCTTGAAGGCGGAGGTATCCATCGGCACCGACCCAGCCTGTCGTACCTGAAAACAGAAAAAGTATCTGCTTTACAAATTTTATCTGTAACCAGTCTATAATCATGCACCAAACATGAGAGGTTTGATACGAGAGTAGGTTTTGATCAATCTAATTCTTGAAAATAAGTGTGCTATTTATATATCGGTGCATTACGTTACCTACAGTCATAAAAAATACTTACACATTTAAAGAAGAAAACTATTTATACTAACGAATTAATTTATAAATAATATAATTTCTTCTCACTGTATTAATGAGAAGAGTGTATACTATACTGACCGACTACAGAGCCGTCTTTCAGCCGCCTCTCCTTTCGGTACTGTCCGTTGTGGGTCTGGTAGAGGAAGTACCGCTCATCGTCTTCATCAGTCTGAATGTGGAACTGGTCGGGGTCCTGCTGCGGACTGTAGCCGTCGAGTGCTGCCAACGCGCCGCACGCGCATACCTGTAAAAATTGCGAAGAAGTTCGTCAAGTAAAGTTGCAAACAATGCATCCTACTAATATTTATTAATGAGAAAGTTTGCGAGGTTGGATGGAGCTTTCTTTGAAGAGGAAACTACTGAACTTTTACAGTATTAGGTATTGTTTAATTATTAGATTTACATAAATAAACCTACTTAATGATACATAGTTTCACGTGAGCGAAACTATATCATTANTGACTTTACAGATTTGGTTTTGAATCGAGGTAACAAAACAGAACTAGTCCTAGGTATTTACTTCATTTTGATGGCGTATCGAGCTTCACTGTGGCAACTAATTAAGTTGTACCCAGTACGATATTGCAACAAAAATTATAGTCTCATATGTTTCCGGCCATGTTTATTTTACACAACAACATAATTAACAAAACCTACAATAACTAATCTAACTTCCTATCTAGAATTAAACATAAACGCTTTAACACTGTCAAAAATCTAGATCTTATCAACATTTTTGTCAGTGTTAAAGCCTTAATTTTCCGAAATTTGAACTGATTTATTTACTTATGTATTATAAACTATTGCGACTGGTTCTTCTATTGACAAGCTATTATTACAGTAATAATAAGCTATCATAACTTAGGCTTATATCATTAAACTTACAAGTACACCTAATGCAAGGTCTGCTGTAGTTGATTAGTGTGTTAGATTCATGAATTGCATGACACTCATGTGTGGGAGTCAGGATTGTTTGAAAGAGCTATTTAGGTAGTATGAGTACAGTCTTTTGTTCAAAATACGAGTAGGAAAACGTAGGACGCCGAATCACATGTATTTTTCATCGTCAGCAGGACGTCCCCTGCTGAATATAGACCCGATAATTTCCAGGTTAACCGATTGGAAGCTGCAAGTTGCATTATGTATTTTTACTATTGGTTACTTAACTTTGAAGATACTGACAAAAATAGGTGGATGTTAAAGAGTGTACAATTTTTCTGCATTTCTTTATGAAAATTCATCATCATCAGGTCATTTTACATCTTCAGGTGGATAGAGATCCCTAACGAAAGCTTTTAGACAGCTGAATGTTTTGTAGTTTGTTATACCTAGCTAGGTGTCTTTTTCTAATATCTCAATTATTTATTTTTGTTCTTGACTGTACCTTTGGTAGTAGATTCAAGGATTACATACGCGAAGGCGCTAATAAATGAGAAGCATTAGTGACTTTATTGTAGTAATAATATAATACTCAATGTGACTAGATCTTAAGTTATTTAAGTACTTACGTAATTAATTTTCTTAATTCGAAGATTATTCGAGATAATGCTTTATACAATCCATCATATGAACAGATCTTTACATTATGTAGTTAGTGTTATTGATCGGCTTTTCAGGACAAAATACAAGTAGGTACTTATTCAGACAAATTAAAATTAAGTTTCTAGAATCACTATAGGTCGCTTTTCAGTTAGCCTAATTGCTGATGTCTCTATTATACTCTTTAGTAATAATTTAAACAAAGATACACTGATCTGCAGCCGAATCCTCGTAATAAACGTTAATCGAATCAAAACGTCACTGCGAATTAAATGGTACATTGAATATAAAATACCTACATAATATTTTTATTTTATTTCATTTTAAGTAGGCACTCGAAGTTAATAAAATAAATTAGTGACATCATTCGTGTGGATTGAAGCATGTTATTTTGTAAACAATTGCAAGTTCCACGTCCTTTGCATGTCTGTAAAAACTATTGATTTGTGTGCGTGTTTGCATGTTGTCATGATTTGTCAGAAATGTCATTGGTGGTTTTATGAACTCGGAACGTGTTGTTTTTACCGAGATGTCAGCCTCGCGATGTGCATTACCGTAAACGGGGTTGGTGTGTGAAACAATAGATTTGCCACGAATTAGAGGCAGAATCGCCAATTTGCTGAACAATAGATGTTAACTGAGCCCCGAAGGCCGTGATTTAGCAACAAAGCGCGTAGGCCTACGATATGTTACATTACTCTGGCAGAGTTTTTAAAAAAGTTGACTGCCATCATCTGATCCTAAAATTACGGTATTTTTTCAGTGTTAGACTTTACAAAATTTTCACAAACAGCTTACTCCGTTTTCGCACCGTAACTACCCCAACTTCAAAATTAACTTTTTGTGGGCTTGACAGACTTGACTTTTGTTAAAATTAAATTAAAATGGTGCAACTCAGCCTTAGGATTTTTCAGCTTCCTCGCAGTGGTTAAAGATCTTTTAATTTTCTGAAATCCTTATTGATTATACGAGTAATGTAAAAATTGCTGTTATTTATAATGTAAATATCCAGTGATACATAATTTTGAGTTCGTAAAACTTGGCGAATAAAGTTTTGTATAGACACTGGAACTGGATCATTATTTAGGTAACTCATTTCACAGACGATTACAAGCTGTTTTCTTCGTTAAACGATATCACCTAATCGAAGAGGAAATGTAGTGACAGACAGCGGTAACCTTAGTTGTTTAATGAATTCTGTCATTGCGTTCTCATGGAATAACAATTATTATAGGCGTATTAGCATTACATGTTGGTGCTTCACAACCTCGGGAGCGGGACGTGGGCAGACAGCAAAGGAACTACGCGGAAATGTCAAACAAAATACGGGCTTAGAAAAACACTAGGCGTAATTACAGTGTGTAATACGGACTGACAATCATGAAAAAGATCGGATGTATGAGTAAACAAATATTAATTCGGATAAGTAAGTATAAGCATAATTAAATAGGTATGTAGCTAGGTATTGTAATTCAGTAACAATAAAGAAACGCGTAGACGTGTTCGAATGCCAAAATGAAGCCTGCAGAACGTTTGTAAGGTGAACTATTATGTTCTGTTGATACTTCAGAGTGCGCTTGTGTACTAGTTGTGCTTACTTGAAATGCTTTTAGTGTAAGAACAAACATGAACAATCACCATCATCATAGGTGACCATAAGCACCGAGTGCGTATGCGTGTTCACTGTCCTTAGACTAGTTTTTAGGTTTATTTGTATCATTTTAAGAACCATTTTCGAGAATAACGGAAACTTTCCATATCTTTCAGCTTCACTTATTTGAAAAGGAAACATTTAATACTGACACTGAAAATAATGTTTTCATACCGTTTTGCAAACGTATTTAAATATTCATTGTCCTCAGCTGATGAGTAACTGATAGACAATAGTATGTGATTTCCATCACATTGAAATAGCTGTAGAGCACACACATATTTGCATACAAATACCCTTCAACTGCTGATTCGGTTTTTCCGTTTTTTTATGGAGGTGACTGGTTTTCCTGAAAAACTCATAGTAACAAATAAAATATGACTGATTGAGTATCGTACTTTGTTTCGCTCATATCCATTTATGTTCAACAGTGTGGTACCTATCTCCGACTCAACTATAATTTTTTGATCAAGATTCAAAGATCAATGTTCAGTAATTTACCACCAGCGGTCGGTCCAGTACCAGGTGGCCCATATCTTATCACATAATTGTAAAACTACTTGTTCTTGAGTGATCCGCATAACTTCATTTCAATCTTTCTAGGATTTAAGGTCAACATTACCATTGCATAAAATCCAAATAAAGTACCCTTCCTTTTATGAAAAGACAAGTGCTTCATGTTGTAATAAATAATATCTTGTAGATTATAATCAAAACGATTTTATAAATAGGTATTAAAATAATCTAGCGTACAACTAAGCAGTCTTAGTTAGCGGTTACCTACATTTATACAATCAGCAAGGAATAGGTAAGTGGTGTTTGCTAGCCTACTTTTCTGTTATCATCATCATAATTATTGTAAACCGAGATGGATACGTCGGAATTATGAAAGCTTTCTCAATCTCTCCAAATATCTTTATTTATTTCACATTTTCCGTATTTTAGAAGACTCAGGCTGAGTTGCACCTCCTAACGTTAACGGTAACTTTAACAATAACCGGTGCTTTTTGCATGGAGTTTGACAGATTTTTGACGTTTGTCAAAGGTAAAGTAATATGGTGCAATCCAGCCTCAGTATTTAACGGATTACGACACAAGATGCCAGGGAATTGTAGGAAGTGAAGTAAAGCGCGGAGAGAGGTTCACAATACGTTGGGCCATCATTTAATTTTTCTTGTAATTACATACAATCTGTATCGCTTCTATACAATCACTCGTAATTAAGTCGTTCTGTTGTAATAAGTGTTCAAGATAATACTTTGGGGAGGGCTGAAATTGTGTCTAATACCTACTGATATTTCTGGATGCAAGTAACGAATTGCTATTTTTATCTAAATCCAGAACGTATTTTTGAAGACTTTCTATGAATACCATTATGTTTGTATTATGTTCCCATAGTAAGCGAATTTTTGTAATTCTTAATGAGAATAAAGATCTTAAACCATAAAATTTTATACGTATAAATCTTTATGTTACTTAAAAAAATGTTTTTTAAATTATATGGTAATGTATACTGAAAAAGAAAAACATAGGTACATCTACAAGTACAAAGTACGCACGTAATACCCCAAAGTATGGTAAACGTCCTTGGTATTCATGAGTATCGGTGGCATAATATATCCTTAAAAGGATACGTAGGTACTACTTGGTTGATGGCATAATAAGTTTAACACTGTGGTCTTTTATATACTTGTAATAGGTGCTATATTTCAACAACAATGTGTAGTCTGATATGCTGTCGTTTTACATGCTAAATGTATTCTAATTATTGTTGTGCCTACAGCGAAAGTTGACATGCGATTGATGACTGCTATGTTAGAAATTAGAATACATTGAACAACCCTTGTCATTCCTGATTAACTTGTGTTATGTAATAAGACGTGACGACGGCTCAAACGATGCACTCGTATTTGTAATTAAACTGAATTATTTTCAAAAGAATATAAAATTGTGACCTGTAAAAATGTCTGCCATGTTTTCAGTGTCCTTTGTTTAAAATTTAACCATCATTTGTAATTTAGATTTATCAGTACCATTTTGTAGCCGTGACTACTAAAATCTATCAAACTCCATACAAAATACACCGGTTATCGTTATAGTTACGGTCAAAGTTAGGTGATGCAATTTAACCTTATTGTTTTCAATTAAACGATTAGGCGATTAGTTCTTAGGAATGCCGTAAGTACCTACATAAATGTCATTATAACTTATGAAATGACTAAATGCACCAGAAGTATAACAGGAGCTCGTTAAGAAATCTGTTAATTTTACACGAAATTATGGCCACCTTGTCTGGGCCAGCTGCTTGCGGGGTCGACTCCCGCCGAGAGCAATTAATATTAATTATTCCGGTTCTGCATAATTTTCTGGGTTAGGTATTAGGATATCTAATACTCAATACAAACACTATTTCCTTCATAGTTTGTGCGTTAGATAAGATAATATAGGAAAAGAATCGTAACGATTATATTAATGTAAACGATTCTGAATAATGTATCTGTAACTTTCTCCTGTAACATGTTGTTTTCCTGTCTGTCTAAACTCTATGAGTAATCAGTAGTGAAAGGTAAGAAAACGTACAACTATCTTTAAAAGTGACTGGATTTCTGTAAATATTTACTTTTATACTTCAACTAATCATCAGCAATCCTGTTACATAAACTTTTACTACCTATGTATTAGAATAGAATAAGTTTATGTTATCATATAGCCGTGTGGTGACGGCAGAGTAGAATACATTTGTCACCAANACAATGTGGTCAAATACCTGCCTTGTTATGCATAAACAAAAAAGAAAACATTTGTCACCAACCCCTATTCTTCCCACGGGTCGTAAGAGGCAAAACTAGGGACTAAGTTCACATCAAACAGAGAACCGGCAGCAGCGCTTTCTGAAAAACATCAATCTTTTAAACTGCGATCTCCAACTCGCCTGCCAAGCGTGGGGATTATGGCAAAACCCTCCACTATAGTGGAGGAGGCTCATAGTCTAGCAGTGGACTGTAAAGGGCTGTTGATGATGATGATGATGTTATCATATCAGTTATGGAGCTCCACGATTAGTAGAGCTTCCACTACTGTGCCTAGGTAATAGACATTATGTACTTACTTAAATTGTTAAATCTGTGCAGTATCTGTTCAGGTGCTATACATACGTTTAGATAATCATGACATAAGCATACCTATAATTATGTACATCAGCTGCACTCTGGTTGGAGGATTTAATCGTAATTGTCATGACGTGCAATTGCATCCAAGGCATCTAATTAGCACTTAGGTGTAACTTACTCATAAATGTTGCAATTTTTCATTACAGAGTAAGTATTAGTGAACCTACGTAACCTTATACTATTTTGTCATTAAATATAAACGTCCGGGAATTGTTCTATATAACGTTGGATTTTTGATCTAATAATTCAGTCAATTTATTATATTATTGAGAACAAAACGTTAGTAGCTATAAAAATAAAAATGAAGCTGGTAAGTATTTTAAATTTTAACATCGTGTAATTTTCTTAATTAAATTATTTAGTAAAATTTAAATAAAGTTCAAAATACCTACATAGCCGATCACATCAAAGAAGTTACTGTTATTAATGATTATAGAGATTGAAATAGTGTTATAAAGGTATCCAACCGGCGTCATTTAGGGAAGAACTGCCTGGTGGTTCACTTTCAATAATTTATTAAAAGAATGTAAGTAAATCTGACAAAATACTAATGATCTTTTTTATTCCCAGTTCATAGTAGCCGTATGCCTCATCGCAGCTGCCTCAGCCGCGCCCAGCACCTCCACAGCCACTGCGGCGAGGCGAGCTTTACCAGCGGTCCAGCACGAAGAAGTGCACGACGAGTTCGGCCAGTATGCGCTGAGATACGTCACCGCTGAGGGGACCATCGTCTCCGAGAGAGGTCGCCTAGTCCCAACCTCGAATGGGGCGCACGTACTTGTGGTCGAGGGAGAAACCTCGTTCATAGGCGATGACGGCAAGACATACGTCACCAAGTACAGCGCAGGACTTGATGGAATGCGCGTAGAAGGCGCTCACCTCCCAGTGGACACAGCTGCATAAGATATAACTTGATTGCATCATGTCAAACTCAATATACTACTGCAAAAGTTGTGAACGCGAACAGCCAAGGAGAAACGTTTTGTAAAAATAAATTATTTATTCATGTTACTGTACACACATGTTTCATTATTTTCATAGAATGTTGTAAACGTTTTCAAGTCTACGCCAGTGGAAATTGTAATTTTTAAAATAATATGAAGTAAACTGACATTAACATAGAATTTTGTGTGATATGAGTGATTTGCGACTCTATCTTTTATCGCCTTGCAAAGTGAAGTCCTATGTATCTAATTTGAAGATCACAAAGTCAGTTCATTCTGTGGTAAAAAATTTGTAACATCATTGGTAACATCTCTATTTATTTATTACTAATGTACCTACTTCCCATTACCATTACCAGGTATTCAAGTATGAAAAAGGGTGCCTTTTTCATTCATATTTAGGTAAGTAGTAGATCTTAAATAATCGTCTTAATTGGCCCTGAATCACTTTACATAAAAAACTAAGCGGCTTAATGGGCTTCTAACTTTTCTAAGATAAAGCATGAGTGGACCAACCCAAAAACAATGTTTATTTTCCTTAGTCCGATTTAGTCACGAACTGTGACGCTATCAGCTATGTGATTCACATTCGCGACTATGGTGGCGCGACGTTGACCGTAAATGGACGCATATTAGTCCTGGAACCGATGGTATCACGTTTGTGCAAGCAACGCCCACACCCGACTCGCCTGGCGAAATACGCATTAGGGTCAAAACTGTCATCAACGACCCTACATCGCGTACGTAACACATTTCTAGACAAATATTGTATTATTGTGTGATATATACGCAACAGCATCAATAAAAACGGTTTCAGAAAAAATATGCAATTAGCTGTAATTGCCAACACGAAAATGGCAATCAGTCATACAAGAAATAATCCCACACATAAAGGATTTGCGCTATAGATGGGAAATGAAACTTCCGCATGATGTCTAAATTTTTTGCCACCATTTTTTAAGGTTGATTAAAACTCATGGATATCAAGGTACAATTAAAATATCAATCTATTGAATAATTGTTATTGTGACAGGATTGTCGAGCGAGATATGAGATCAGCAGTGGTTTATGTGAGTGGGCGATGACTCTATCCATGGATAATTGGGTGGATATTCGCACTGAAGGTATCGTGGCTGTACGTAGGGTTCTACAGTAGTTGGTTAGCCTGAGCTGGGCGTGGGCAAGGTGTGTGGGCTAGGGGACAAATCCGCATTGCGCGTTTAATGCTGTCCTTGTATGTCAAGCTTTATCAGAGTAATTTACGTTCCTAATAAGAACCAAACTCGGCGCCTACAGATGTAGATCATGACCAGTTCATTACTTTTTTCTTTTAAATAACGAAGACATGTAAGTTAAATCTAGTGAACGAACTCAATTAGATCTATTTTTAGTTTAGCCTCTATTCCTAATTCTTATTGGTGTGCTTACAAAACTATAAGTCTGAACGAGCAAGCAACGACGAATCTTACATTAATTTCGTAATGATCTAGGTTAGTAGGTTCCAACACTTCCAACATTAAGTGTTCTTCGTATTATTCAATATGTATTAATGCAACATTCCTTTAAGAACCAGTTGTTCAAGTAAATAAGCCCAGATTTTTATTTTATTTTAAAAACATTCATGTAAACAAATTTTATTTATGCGTCATATTGTTATCAAAATAATATTTATGATCTAAATAACAAGATCTGGAAAATACCGTCATCTTTGAAAAATATTACCGATACTTACTTTGGATGCATTTTCTAAAGTGATAATTTCGAAACTATTAGGCATTGTTAGGAAGCTTTTTTCTTAAAAGCTGCTTTATACATTCCGTCCATTTTGTCTAAGTATAAAAGCTGTTTTGGTGTAACAATAAGTTCGCGTTATTCTTTAAGAGAGGTCATTAGATGCATTGGTGTGTAGACGCTTGCGTTCGCCGGTGACATTCCTTGCCATGTGTACCGCACTAATGTCTTTATTATAACTGTACTTGAATGCAGTTCACGGGAGTACTTTGAATGTATTGTTAGAGTTTATCTTTATTTTAAATGCATTTCTGACATAGCAAGTCGCAAGATAGAGCTCGCATTGCATAGCAATTTTAAACCGAGTGCTTATCGTATAAAAGTTAGTGTTACTATTATTTTTGCCAATAAATCTGTAACGTTTTAATTTTACTCAATTAAATAAATGTTCTTATCAAGTTGTTACGTAGCCTATAAATATTTTTATTACATTTGCCGTGATTAAATTTATTGATCAGATCTTTTTATGAACCATCCACGTTATATTGTTATATTACCACAATCGCAGTAATTATTCCACATGTCATGATGTAGGTTGTATCATACTTCCAACTAATTCTTTTTTACATGACACATTACGTGCCTATAATAAATTAATTAAAGCTCTGATTTTTAATTCGACGGAATTTTGACATTTCAGAAGTGTTGTCAACATTAAAACATTCCCATTATGAATGGAGAGCATTTTCACAAATTAAAAAATAACCCTTTCTTGAATTTAAGGTTTCACTTGAAAAACTAAGGCTTAAAAATGTACTGATCATTTCAAAATGGTTATTTGAATTTTTATTATCATATTTTTGAAGTTACAAAAAAAATTGGGAAATTATTTTTCTATTACTGGACTCCCTGGTTACAAACCTTTTTTATGAAAATCCTTTTGTTAATAAAATCTTAGGTTCATAAAATAACCAATTTAACAAGATGCCAATTTTATAATCCAAGTTGATTATGACGACAATAATGATGATTGATGATCAATACATATTTTCGTAAATGATAATATGTTGTTTTACTGTGTTAACACGTTTTTTTCTATTTAAACTCTAAAATGTAAATAATAATTAATGTACATTGAATTGACACAACAAACAATAGTTCATTCTTGTAAGTTGTACTTGATGAAATTTCATTTCATATTATTTATTAATAATTCAAAGCAAAAAAGGCTTATTACATCTGAATTGTCAAAAAATGACAGCTGTCAGAATTCCGTCGAATTAAAAATCGGACTATAATATAATAGACGAGTATCTTGTAGTAAACGAAGAGTTATTGACAGTTAAATTTTATAACTTAATATATCAATTCTAATCGTTTAAATATCAAGTTTAAATAACTTGTTTGATTTATGGTACAGATAGATGGATCTACAAATGAAGTTAATCTATTGCAATAAAGATGATGTAGAATTTTGACAAAAACCCTTGAACAAAGTTTTATAGAACTATAACATTGTAAAAATCAGTAAAAATATGATTATAATTTTGACCTATGATTTAATCGACGCTTTTCTGAAATTCGCAATAAAAATAAACATTCGCACGAATGTTCGCATCAAAGTTCGCGCGTGTTGATAATGGCATTGTGTTCGCAGCATTAAAATTCCCCGTTAACAATGAAAGTGATGCGCGCGTTCTGCGGGAAGGTTCTCACGCGACGAAAGCCATGACGTAATGGCGCCGCAAGCCTCAGAGAGGACATTTTAATTGGTAATTAAGTTCGTATTTATTACCGGCTAAGGACTTTGACCGTATCGCAGAATTAAAAAAAGTGGTCTCAACAATCATTAAGACCGTACCCACATAATAAATAATAATAATTTCTATTTACTTTTTGTACTGTACCATAAAATTATATTTCGTCTGTAGAGTTATAAAAATATAATGCCGACTTCCCTATTTCATAATTGATTGCTTATTTAGTTATGAAAAACTCTGTTGTTAATTTATTTTCAGGGCTTTTGCAAAAAAAAAGTTACTTAGGCTGTCGTAAAGTTACTTATAAAAATCTAGTTTTAATGAATTAGAAATTAATATAATGAAATGTTAAGCTAATATTTATGGCGATATTCGCAATAGGCGGATGATACTACCAGACTACGTTATGCCATGTCACACGTTAATATACAAAACCTACTTAAATTAGATTTCTCCGGAAGGTATGCTAAAATTAAAATCGTTAATGAAATATTAAGATTAGCGCATCAATATTGATGTAAATAAAGGTAAAGTCAACAGTCCATTGGACAACTTTGTCTTGGAAAATCGTCTGTATTACCACAGAATAATAATATTACCTGCTAATGAATAAGATACACTTTAAATCTGAAGAATCAGAGCTTATAGAATAATATGCAGTACTTAAGTCCTTAATATTGAAGTAAATTATTATTAAAATTGTTGGTCGAGTATAGTAAATCAATAGAATCTGTACAAGTAAACAAGATGTTTTTGAAGGTGATTATTAGTTTTATTTTGTGGATTTAAAAGTTTAAAGTGATTTTGTGTTTAAGGCNGAAGTCAACCTAACCTAACCAACTGCGTATTTCTAAACTGCGTATTTCTATACTGTGTAGCCGCGAGAGCTCTTTGGCGCGCTGTCTTCGGCGAAGAATTGCGCGCGCAGATTTTGACAGCGTGAAATACCTACTTTAGCAGAAATACCAAGCCTTAAAGCTACAATAAGGTCAATAAGTGAATACTAAGTCGTTAATATCAAAATAAATATTTATAAGTATACTGGAAAAATGTGCATCTTGTATACTGTAGCTGATTAATCGGTTTGTTGATTATTTAACCTATGTAAGTGCACTGTGTAGGTACTAACGTTTGTTATAGTTATTACTAGAAAGTGAATAAATATTCCAGCAATAATTCCTTGCATTTTATTTGATTTATTTCTAGCACAGTTAGTAAACTAGTTCCATAATATCGGTGGAATTTATTTTTATTAGCCCGCGGCTTCGCACGCGTGAAATTTCGTTTGTCACAGATCGTCATAAATTATAGCCTATATGTTATTCTGGATTATTAACAATAATACTGTAAAGTTTCATCAAAATCCGTTCAGTGGTTTTTGAGCCTTTTCATTACAAACATACAAAAATAGGTACAAATCTTTCCTCTTTATAATATTAGTATAGATATAGATAAGTGTTTATCTATTTAATCATAGTTTATTAAAAGTCAAAACAATCCTGCTTCATGGTCAGAGCTCCTAGGGAACTTTCAAATAAGACCCAGAATAAAGAATTTACTTTCAAATACACAAGGAAAACT